AAAAAAAAAAAAGAAAAAAAGCGGGAAAACCCGCTCTCGCCTGTGCAACTTCGGCGTGGTGGGGTGTGTGATATGAGACGAACCCCCCATGTGAACAAACGTGGCGAGCTGCGCGGAAATAGCACATCAAACAACACACCAAGAAATAAATCGTCCACTTCGTATAGCATGACCAAAACAAGCAAACAGCAAGAAGCCCAACGCCCTACTATTGAAGTGAAATAGACTAACACATAGGGAAGGGGCAGGGAATAACAAATAGAAGATAACGCATACCGGGGAGACACACGACGTACATAAACGCCAAGCAACAACAAAACACAGGCTGGGGGGGCACGGGGGCGGCGGGCGGGCACAAGAACACGATTGGACAAGGGAAAGACAGTGAGCTAAGAAACAAGTAACACCGACGGGAACAGGCAAACCGAAAAAAATACAAGTCCCACGAAAGTCGAAGGACCGAAAAAAATAAACTGATGATAACAAGATTGTTTCGTCGGAATTGCACCGACTCATCGGGAGGCTGAACCCTCGACAATCTGCGGAGTACCGGTTTTGGATGTTTTGGGTCATGAACCCTTTGACCCTTGTTGAAGGCAGATTGCCCACAAGTGGAACATAGCAGCGAGCGGCACCCTTGTGAAGCACCAGGCAACACACCCGAAGCCACTCAACCGCACAACACCAAAAACGACTGCAAGGAACAACACATTGAATGGCGGACGGCAGCAAGAAACAACTCTGTGAAGCACCAGGCAATGCACCAGAAGTCACTCAACTGCAGAACGACACAGGCGGCTGCAAGGAACAACACCGCAAGTGGAGGCACAACACAGCATCCATGTGATGAAGCACAAGGCAACAACCACAAGACTACCATACTGCACGGCACAGAAGCAAGGAACCCAAAAGGCACGACACATGAATGGACAGCTTGGAAGTAGCGCGGCGAAGCACAGGCAACACGACTACCAGTCTACCACAACCAGACTGCACAGCGAACGTAACAGCACATGACCCAAGTGGGATGGGCAGGAAGGCAACGGAGACGCGCAGACAGCACAAGGCAGCCCACACATCCAACATGGAGCAAAGCAGCACATTACGAACTCACATCACGGGTGAACACGGCAGACTTTTGGTTCCCACCACCCACTGAGCCAGGGAGTCACTCCGCCGAACATTCGTCGTCACCGACAGGCAACACAAACGCCCCGAACCGAGCGGCCCCCCTAAGAATGCAGTTGGCACTCCAAATGAGGGACCACCGACTGTTTGGCACTACTTGAGGGTGCTCTGTTGGGCGCACAGAAAAATACTTCGGAAAAAACGGGATAGAGGACAAACAACAGGAGAAAGACAAACAGACATAAAACTGATTGAGTGTGTGTGTGTGTGTGTGTGTGTGTGTGTGTGTGTGTGTGTGTGTGTGTGTGTTCATGTATGTGTGTGTGTGTGTGT